AACTTGAAAACCATTCCAGATCTTTCCTGTCTCCTTGTCACCAGAAAGGGAGCCTAAAAATAAATCTCACTGGTTGTGAGAAATGACCCAAGTACAGAACCAAGTGACCTGCTGGCCACACACCACAGGACAAAGACTCACCCAGGAAAAGCGCGAGTCTGCCTTGCACTTCAACTCCCTGCACCCCTCCACCCGCACATGGGGGAGCCTGGCGGAAAGAAATCGTGACCCAAATGTCCAACGCCCCCTCCCCAGGCGAAAGCAGCTCCACACCACTGCCCAGCGGCAGGACAAGCCAGGCCCCGCAGGCGACCGGAGCACGAATCCAGCTGGAACGACAGGTGACCAATTAAGAGGTCCTGTTCCAAGCTGGGCAGGTGCCTGGCACAGGGTGACACGTGGTGGCCGGAGAGCCACCTGACGAAACCACCAGAAAACAACATTCACTTGAAAACAAACGAGAAAGGGACAGCCGCGCCGCGTCGCACAAATCAAAACCAGACAGGCCCTCGGCTTTGATCCCAGACACCAAGGATCGGTTCTCCACCGTCTAATGACAGTTGGGGGTGGTGTCTCTGGCCCTCCCCACCTGGCCCCGCAGGTCCTTTGAAGGCCTTCTTCGTGGCAGACACGAACTCGGACCGATTTTACTTACATGTTCTCAAAGGCAGGGTTGAAAAGAGCAGCTTCAAAGGTGGCTGGGTGACCCTCAAGGGTGCAAAGTCCTGCTCCGGACACCTGTGGGGAAATTTTGTACATTTCCCAGGCGCCCACTGGAACTGGGCATGTCCCCTTCATATGGACGCCGGCCGGGAGCTGCCTCTTTGGCACAGAAATCAAGGCGCCCAGGGCCCCCCTTAGCAGTCAGGGCACGCAGCAGCAACTCCAGGGAGGCCCAGGAGGATGGCCCCTCCCTGGAAGGACCAGCACCCCGTGGTGTCCCCGTGAAAACGCACGAAGGCTCAGGCTGCGCCTTGCCCGCACCATCGCGGAGCTTAGAGAGACATGAATGACCGCTTGGGGTTAGTTAAAACCCACGCAAGCACCTCCCTGGCCTCTTACATCTTCCCCAACGACTGCTCAGACTGGAGGCATGCCGTGGCAGCGACCATAAAAGTCATCTTAAAAGGCAAGTTGGGGGAAAAAAAAAAAAAACACCCGATACGCACGAGTTAGCAAGTCCGCGGTTTGGGGGTGCGGTGGCAGGGGGCCGGATCTGTGGGGTCTCCGAACCCGGGGTGGAGAGGACGGGCTGCCCCAACGGTCCCCGGGCCCCCGCGCCCACCCGCAGCCTCGAGGCCCCCCGATCTGACGCCGACGATCACACCCCCCAGCGCCGTCCAATTAGGAAAATGACCGCGAGGAGACGTGGAGAGTGGATGACGAGGAAGGGGGACTGGGACTAGGGAGACTCAGGACAGGCCGTGGGGACCCGGCCAGCCGGCGAG